GGAAGCGCCGTCGAGTGCGTGTGAAAGCGTTAGAGTGTGCGGGTGTGTCTTCTCACGCCCGCCTTTTGGTTTTGTTGGTTTTTCTTTTTTGTTTTTATGGCGTTATTGTGTTTTTTTGACTGATATGGAATACCCTTTTTGTGTATTTAGTTTTTTTTTTGTTGTTTGTAGATGTTGTTATTTTGTTGTTTGTTTGGTTGGTTTTTACGGCGTGTTATTGACACGTTATTATTATCGCTTTTACTGTTCATGTATTTTTTTCCTTTTTTTCCTTTTTTGTGTTTTTTTTTATTTTTTTTTTTAAGGTTCAATTGGCATCTAGTGTACTCTTTTTTTGAGTGTTTTCTTTAATTTACTGCGTTTACTTGGTGGGATTGTTTTTTCGTTATTTTGTTTGGTGTTTGCAAATGCCGTCATATTTGCTTTTTGGGGTTCTTTTGCTTTTTTCGTTCTGTGCGCCTGCTGACGCCCTGGCACCCGGATCGAGCCGAGTTGAACTGTTTAAGCGGCAAAATTCGACGGTGCCGTTTGAAGACAAGGGCAAAGTCACCGATCGGGTTGTCCACTCGTTCCGCGTTCCCGCTCTTTTTGACGTGGACGGGGTGATGGTTGCCATCGCGGACGCGCGCTACGACACATCCAATGACAACTCCCTCATTGACACGGTGGCGAAGTACAGCGTGGACGATGGGGAGACGTGGGAGACCCAAATTGCCATCAAGAACAGCCGTGTATCGTCTGTTTCTCGTGTGGTGGATCCCACAGTGATTGTGAAGGGCAACAAGCTTTACGTCCTGGTTGGAGGCTACAATAGCTCAACTACCTACTGGACGTGGCATGGTGATGCGAGCGACTGGGATATTCTGCTTGCCGTTGGTGAGGTCACGAAGTGTACTGTGGACGGCAAGACAACTGCGAATATCACATGGGGGAGCCCCGTGTCACTGAAGGAATTTTTCCCTCGGGAAATGGAAGGAGTGCCCACAAAACAATTTCTTGGCGGTTCGGGTGTTGCCATTTTGGCGTCCAACGGGAATCTTGTGTACCCTGTGCAGGTTACGAACATGAGGGGACAAATTTTCTCAAAGATCTTTTATTCGGAAGACGAGGGCAAGACGTGGAAGTTTGGGAAGGGTAGGAGCGATTTTGGCTGCTCCGAACCTGTGGCCCTTGAGTGGGAGGGGAAGCTCATCATAAACACTCGAGTTGACCGGGCACGCCGTCTGGTGTACGAGTCCAGTGACATGGGGAATACGTGGGTGGAGGCTGTCGGCACGCTCTCGCGTGTGTGGGGCCCCTCACCAAAATCGGACCAGCCCGGCAGTCAGAGCAGCTTCACTGCCGTGACCATCGAAGGAATGCGTGTGATGCTCTTCACACACCCGCTGAATTTTAAGGGAAAGTGGCTGCGCGACCGACTGAACCTCTGGCTGACGGATAACCAGCGCATTTATAACGTTGGGCAAGTATCCATTGGTGATGAAAATGCCGCCTACAGCTCCGTCTTGTACAAGGATGATAAGCTTTATTGTTTGCATGAGATCAACACGGACGAGGTGTACAGCCTTGTTTTTGCGCGCCTGGTTGGCGAGCTAATGATCATCAAGTCCGTGGTGCGGTCCTGGAAGAATTGGGACAACTACCTGTCCAGCATTTGCACCCCTGCTGATCCAGCCGCTTCGTCGTCCAAGCGTGGTTGTGGTCCCCCTTTCCCAACGGCTGGCCTTGTTGGTTTTTTGTCCCACAGTACCTCCCAAAACGTATGGGAGGATGCGTACCGCTGCGTCAACGCAAGTATAAATCGTGGAACAAATTTGACGCGGGGCTTTACGTTTGAAGGAAGGAATGCCGGGGCACTGTGGCCGGTGGGAAAGCAGGGGCAGAATCAACGGTATCGTTTTGCAAATCACAGATTCACGCTGGTGGCCCTCGTATCTATTCACAAGGTTCCGAGAAGTACCAGGCCATTGGTGGGTGCGAGTCTGGATGGTTCTGGTTACAGAAAACTCCTGGGACTGTCGTACGACAAGGAACAGCGGTGGGTCCCAAAGTTTGGGCAAGCGGCTTCTTTTCCAACGGGATCTTGGGAGCTGAACAAGACATACCACGTGGTACTTGCGTTTGAGGGAGGCGTCGGCTATATTTACGTTGATGGAGAACCATTGCGTGGCTCGGGGCAACGGCTTACAGGCGTCCAGTTGAAGAGTGTGGACATCTCACACTTCTCTATTGGGAGTTACGGAACCAGCGACAGAGGCACAGACTTTCAAATAACGGCGAAGCATGTCCTCTTGTATAACCGCAGAATTGAACCGAATGAGGTTCAAACACTTTTTCTAGGCATAAGCAAGATTGTGGCGACCTCTGAGAGCATGATCAACGAAATGGCCATCCAAAGGATGATGTTGGATGCGTCTGAACGAGGCAGCAGATTCTCCCTAATCAATACGTTATTTCTGTTGACTTTGCTCTTGCTGCTATAAGTTTGGGGACACATAGAGTGTCGGAATTTAAAGGGAAGTGTATAGGGAAAAAATTACTTGCTGAGGCTTTATCTCTTTCTTTGTGGTCAGGTGGCATCCTTTTTATACGCGGCGCTTTGCTACCAAAGACTAATATCACTAATAAAAAATGTGTGTAAGTTTTCTTTTATAAAGCAGACATTCTCTCATGGAAGGGCTTGGTGTTTTTTGGGAGTGGGGAGGACGATTGACTCCGTTGCAGAGGAGCCTTCTAAACCGTGAGAAATATCTCGTCTTTGTTTTTTTTTTTTTTTTTTTTTGTCTGACGGAGTGGGGATGAATTGGTTCACTTGAGTCATGTTGCCGAAGTCAGCTTTCCAATGGATTTCTTCCCACACCACTGATTCGACAGCTATAAATGTATGCCAACTACTTTTGCGTTTTCTTTTAACCTGATCGCCTCCCACGACCACCACAACTTTCAGGGAATTTACGATGTTTCTTTTTTCTTTTTTTTTTTTTGGGGGGGGGGGGGAAGTTCTTTTGCGTTTCTGAGAGTGGGGTGCCATTTCGGAGAGTTGGGGGGTAATGCTTCCTCTTCTGCTGGTACTTATGGTACTAGAACGTTCTTTGAATGGTCACAGGTCACGGAGGGCCTGTAGCAGATAAAGCTATGGTCTTTTTGTGTGTGTGTTTTATTTCCCCACGCCGTGCGATGCCTTTGCACTTCATACACGCATGCGCACGAACAACTTTAATGCGCACCAGAGTCATTGTTGGAGCATTAATGTTTTTTTTTTCTCTGTGTGTACGAGTGGGGGGAGAGGACGGCCTTTTAACATTTGCCTTTTTTATTTCACCCCCCTTTTTTTTTTTTTTGGTATTGGTGAGAGTGCCGCGATATCTGTTTACGTTGTCACTTCAGCTTCTACCGAACCTGTTTCAACGAGAACATGTGAAGTACGACGGCAATGCGCTATGGCTTTCTTTAACCTTTTTTTTTTAGATTTATCTGGTGAATGTTGGGTTGATACGCACGCTTGGGCGGCAGCCTCTCCGTGCTGTGGTCAGGGGGTCGCAAGCACCACATGCTCAGTTATGGCCTGCACCGGCTGCGCTGCGTCTTCTCAGTCGGGGGGCGTCGTCGCTCCCCCGGCGCGAAGCGAGGTTGCGGTCCCCGACACCGCGGAGTTCGCCTACGCAAGCCTCGGGGAGAAGGGGCCGCAACAGACCACGATTGCCGAGCTGGATGCGGAACGTCGGTGGGAACTGCACAATGCTCTTCAAGGTACCCGTTGCAGGGCATTTACGACCAACACAGCCTCTGGGGCTGGCAGATCCATCGCCAGACCACGGACATGTGCAAAAAAAAGAAAACTCGCCACACAACTCCCTCAGCGTCTGACTGCGCGGCTCATCCATAAGGGCACGTGATTCATATGTATTGCGGACAAGCCCAACGAGCACGCGCACGCATGCCTCAGGCCGAACCAGAGACCGCCGACGGTGCGCCACGATAAGATCAACAAGATGCTTTTCCTTCACGACTGCGCAGGTTCCGGCGCTCCACGGAAGTGAAAACACAAAGGCAAGTCGCCGCGGCCGCTTCCTCGGAACCTCGCCCTCGTCTCCCTCCGCATCCTCCGCGGATGTCGGGTCGTCCGCTAGTGGCGGGTCAACGACCGGTATTGGGTGGCTGCTGATGTTCGGGAAGGCGGTGCACACATCGGCGTATTGGGGGCACACAATGCTCCCACGCCAGGGACCCGATGGCGGCGTGACGGTCTCACCTGCCTGGCACTCGTGCCACGCATCGTCATCAAGAAACCGCACGCTCAGTGTGCCGTCGCCGCATCGAGTGTCCACACACGCATCGCCAATATATTCGTCGTCGAATTGAAGCTCCTGCCCCTTCACGCACCGCGAGTTCGGACCAACGACACAGCCAGGCATTACGGAAGGATCGCCGTTGGTGCACCCAGTATCAGAATACGCCTCAACATACGGACATCTGCTCATGAAGAGGTCATCACCGCCAACTCGGGGATCAGCGAAGTACTGATACTCCTCTGGCAGGGCTTCCTCGTGCCTCTTCAGGTCACAGCGCCCCAGGGACAGACGGTCGTACGTGCAGAAATCATAGACGTCAACCTGGTTGCAGAACAGATCAGGGTATTCGCTGATGCCGTCGGTCAAGCACTTCTTTTCCAGCAGCCCACAGCCAGAGTTGTTGCCCCACCACAACAACTCCGCCGCACTGTAGTTTGCCACATAAACACCCATGTCCTCAAACGCTGCAAGCGTCAGTGCCGAGTACAGCCCAACCTCCACAATACTAGTCATCATCTCGTTCTTCACGTTGCGCTTCCTCCAATGCGACAGTACAGTTTCAGAACCACCCTCGTCCTCCAGCTCAATGCCCTCAAGCGTGGGGCAGTTGTGGTACTGACGCGCCATCGCCTTCGTCTTCGGCGTTGAAATCACCAACACCTTGGACATCCCGCGCACGTTCGGGACCTCGGAAATCATATGTAACATCAAAAACATCTCCCGTACAAACCCAAGGGCATGCCCCAACTCGTGGGCCGCTACACGCACGTCTCCATTTGTCACCGCTATTTGCTTCGGGTCAAAGTTCACGGCAGCAGCAAATGGACGACCATCATCCAGCAGGAAGCACGGAATCGCCCATGCCCTTGATTCAGAAGTCGGAAAAATATTGGCGTAGATAATCATGTCGGCACCAACCACACCCACCGTGTGGTGCTTGTGTGGGATGGTGAAGTTATCGCACATCCCCAGACCGGTTCGAGGAATGAGGACGGGGCGCGTCACGGGCCTCACGGAGAGACGCTCCGCGTGCAGCTGAATTGCGGCGGGGAGAGTTTGCCTCAGAATAATGCTCCTCCTCTCCTCCGTCAACACGTCGTCCGCCTCGCATGTTATTGCGCGGCGAAAGTGGTCAATGCGCAGATCCCCCGCCGCAGTGCAGTGCCTCAACGGATTGTACATGTCCTCCGCGGACACCTTGATGCGGATCGGAGCCCAGCCATCGTCCCCATCCTCGCTGGCGGCGGTGTACGCCTGCACGGCGCCCTGTCCCCGGCGCGGCACCTCACGCACCACCGCAGTCGGCAGCCGGCCGTATTTCTTCATCATCGCGTCAAACCCACAGCGGTGCTTCACGGCGGGATCAGCGGCAACGCAAACACCGGCGCAACACACCACCATCATGAGCCACGGCAGCAGTGGCAGCAGCGCGGTGTGGCGTGGCTGGCGCATGGCTTCGGTACAGTGTGTCTGTTCCTGAGGTGCGGGCAACAGCAGTGGTATTAGTGGTAGTGGTGGTAGCACAGGCCTTGTCTGCGGGAGGAGAAGCAGAAGGAAAGAGGAACAGAGGGAAAAGAGACGCTGCAGCCACAAGAGAGAAGGAGGGGCAGCACCACAAATTACCGCAGCGCACACACAGACAACAACAAAAAACCGACACAGCCTCCAAATAAAGCCGAAGCACGGAAAAATGTTCTGCAGCGCTGCGGACCGGATCCCGAACTGATACGTATAAATAAAACAGGACGGGAAAGAAGAGGGCCATGGAGAGGCAGCGGCCCCGCCACATCCTCAATGTTTGTCCCAACTACATCTATATGTTCGGATAGCCATCCTCGTGCCACGGTGCGGTGTGTTCGGATTGGAGATATTTATTACTTACGAGTTGGAAGACTTTGGGCCC